TGCTACTCACCATTACCCACTACCACAACCTACCACCACCCGTTGTTGTTCATCATTGTTACCACCCAATGTCACCTATCCCCACCACACCTACTACCATCATCCGTCATCGTCCACCACTACAGCCACCCATTGTCACCTACCCCACCACACTTGCCACCGTCGTCATTCGTTACTAACGATCACACTGTTACTTAGAAGCATTCATCATTGCCCACCACCATCCATCATCTCCGCCCACCACCACTGTCGTTGTCCCATCACCACCACTGTCAATCACCATCACGATCGTCCACGACCACCCATACCCACCATCATCACCATTGTCAGTCACAGCTGTCACTACCATTATCATCACCCCAAAACCCACCACCACCATCACCGTTACCACCCACGACTGTCATCAGTACAACGGTCGTCGCCACCCACCACAACTATCACCGTCTCTCACCACCACTACCATCGCTCACTCCCACTACAATCGGTGCTTAAATTTCTTGATCTCTCCTCCATGTTTGTGATTTAATATTAAGTGTAAGTACAAATATATTTATTGTTGACTATTTTTTTAATTATTTCGTGCCTTTAGACACGTAAAATAACTAGTTATCATATAAAAGAACAAATTAAAAGTATTAGGGTTTGCTCCTGATAAGGGTGAAATTTTGGGCATGGGTCGCCATAAGTCTGTGGCCCAAGACGCCATTGGGAACCGAAGTTAGAGCTCATTGGCCCCAAAAAGCGTCTCTGATTAGTCCATGCCAAAGAGTTGAATGGGCAAGGCCCGATGAGCACTCGAGGGGCAGTGGCCCAGCCCTGGCCCAATTAAGTGCTAGCTAAAGAGGAACCCAAGGAAGAGGAATCGAATCCTTGCCTCGGAGTCATCCCACCGTGCCACGCATCCAAAGAACAAGGGGACCATCTCTGAAACCTATGATAGCTACACCTGCCCGCATGCAGAAGATGGTGGAGCATAACGTCTCAAAGATCGTGGGCATAGTAACACTGGTCGAAAAAGGCTTTTGCAGGGTAAGGACAGAAGATTCCCACAAGATCGATAAAAAGGTAGGAGAAACCGCCAGAAACCATGAGAGAGACGACTCATATATAGAACAGTGTCATACAGAAAAAGGGAGGACCCGGAGAACATTTTTCATCTGTGTATACGTTATAAACAAAACACCAATCCCTGTAAGGGTCCAACACCTATACTCCGGCTGTATACATCAGAGTTTCAATATACAAAATTGAAAAATAAAAGACTCTATTACAATAGACATAACTTTAATCTATTGATTAAGGCGAATCACTTATCTTTTATATTTTCTCTTTCGATAGATAACTCAATCTTTCAAATCAGCTCACATGCCAAATTCAATAACCTCTCATACCTTAGGCTTAGCCCGTAATTTCCGACACGCCATCAGCTCCTATAACATATGTCCTTGTCAAGGTTAGGGACTTGACATCCTTTTTTAAGTTGGTCAATACTGGACAGTGGACAGAATGTTGTGACCACTGAGAAGTAATGGTTGAACGGTTCGTATCATTGGATAAGATACCAACACCCCAACCCCCTTCAACAACACTATTCATCAATGCTCATCACTTCACCCACCAGAGATCACGGGAATGAAAAACCTCTCTCTCTCTCTCTGAACTGAGAGAGAGAAAGAGAGTGAAATGATGAGACTAGTAGTACCCTCACATGCCTTTCAGAAACGCTCACAATTAATGTATCTGGAAAGTAGAGAAAACATCTGATGTTAAGAATATTCTTCTTCTTAATTCTTTTGCTTTTAAATTAGGGATTAGATTTGACAATGGAGATCAATCTTTTCCCCCAAATTATCTCTTCTTTAAAAATTAAATCGAAACAAAACTCCCATCACTTTGTTTTTTCTTTCGCTTGAATTTTCTTTCTTATCATTGATTGATTTCCATTCCACTTAAAAAAAAAAATTGAAAGAGAATTATTTTTGGAACAGGGGTAAACCGGGTCGAGCTATCTGACCCAAAAAAGTATAACCCACGGCCTTGTCGTTGTGTCAACTCTAATGGGTCTTTAATAGGTACTCTATTCCTACTTAACTCTTTATTTGGGAGTGTTAATTATCAGACATTTGAGTTATCTAAAAAAATTTACTATTTATTTCAATTTTTTATCAAAGTTTTTTATTTAAAGAAAAATATTCTCTAGAATAAAGAGTGTTATTAAAGATGTTTTTTGCCTCATCGTTGTTCCAATAACTTTCAACGGGCCAATTCATTGGGCCTACCAGGCAAAATGGGGCCCATTATTGTACCGATGGGGAAACATTACGCCGGTAAGCCCGCGGCAAAAAGATCCCTCTAGCCATTGGTCCCTTGCATTACACGTGATCTCTCTCTCTCTCTCTAAATATTGGGTGTAACGATTACACCATATCAGCTATGTTGATATAATGTAACTATCCAATTAAAAAATTATTAAATAAATAAAAAATGATTTACTAGTTATATATTATATGATTGAGTGATTATTATTTTTTGTGTGGCTCATTTACTAATTTGTTTACTTATTATTTGATAATCACGTGATGCTATTGACACGATGTATCAGTTACACTTAATATTTTTTTTCTCTCTCTAGAATCAAAACTTCCAACCATTTCTCGAGTACAGAGACTGGGACAAAGAAAAGTTGTAGATGCATATGAAAGAATGGTTTATCCATGTGGGTGGGCAGGGCAGGGCAGGAGCAGAGCACATGATAATGAGAGCAGTCTATTACTCCAACCAACATGCTTATTTGCTCTAATAATCTGGGGCCATCGCTTTCTGACCAAATAAAAGTTCTGCACCCTGAAACTTTTTCTTGTTATTTAATTTCCCTAATATCCAAACCTTCGTTATTATATACACCTTAAACTATGGATTTGCCTTTTAATAATGCATGGTCCCCCCCCGGCGGAACCATCTTTCTTCTTACTGCTTCTTTCATTCCCTCTTTTCTGTTGTCAGTTTGACTCACAGACCTGTCTCCATTTGCCAACAAGTGTGTCAAAAAATTGATAGTTATTTAGGCACATGGACTATACTAATTGATAGAACAAAAAATATTAGAGTGAACACACTTAAATATACTTCAAATTATTTAAAATATATAGAAGTAATATTTAAAAAAAAAATTGAGGGTGGTGGGCATGTGCCCCCTGGTCTTTTAGTAGCTCCGCCCTTGAGCCAAACCATATATTATTGGACTCGGCTCGAGTAAACGACTTTAGAACTTTGGCCAAACTCATTTCATTTTGCAAGTTGATCAAATTGAGTCCTATCTAAACTCGAGTTATTCAGGCTATTTAATTAGCTCAAATTATCACAGACATCACTCTAAAGGAAAAACTCTAATTGATTTTGTGGTCAGACATAAAAAATAGGACAAATCCACTAGTGAAAACCATATAAAATGTAACATTCGGAGATAGCTCAAGTGAATCTTGGCAATTCCTTTGGATGAGGTTATGAGAACTTTATCTTTTGTGATTATTCTAGTTTCATGATTTACTTTTGATTAGATCGAAAAAAAAATTAATTGAGGTGCACGTAAGTTAACCTGAACATCTCTAAACCATTTAAAAAAAATTATATAAAGTGTAATAAAGAGAGTAGAACCAATACGACGAAGTAGGAAAATAGTGGTGGAGCTTGATGGAATGTGTATGATAGATTTGGGAGGATGGGTTTCTCTTGGTACCATTACCATGTGAAAGAAAGAGTGTGCAGAGTCTGCACCAGAGCTACTTGACCTATCCAACTTCTCGATTCAAGAGCTTTAAAACAATAAGCATGGTCCCTTTTTTGACCTTTTGCGACGAACTCACAGAACTCAAGATTCAAGGATCAACCCCATGCCTGTGTTCAAGTCCTTTATCCGACAAAGCACTTCCGATTATACCAGCGCAATGTTCGATCTGAAAACTCTCATGAGATATTCTCTGTAAACTTGTTCCGAAGAACTGGGATGCAGTTCTATGACCACCATGTAATGGAGTGTACGCTCCTTTTTTGAATGGTTAAAAGCCAAATATTTATTAAAAACTTGGAAGAAACAGAGTCATGCCAACTAGTTTTCAGCTTAGTTGATGTTACAATATGAACAGGGTATGGTAGAGAAGAAAAAAATTTGGCACTGTTTTAATGGGTGTTTTTACAATTTTTGTGAGTAAATTTACAATTAAAAAACTTGTCACTTTTTGTGAGAGTTTTTACTATTGTTGTAAGTGTTTATATAAACATTATGGTAATTATTTTTATTATTTTTTTTTGGTATCAAAAAAATTACTACTTTTATAAATAATTTATCATATTTGTTGTGTATGTTTTTACCCACTATTGTGATAAATATTTTCAGGTATCACAATAGTGGTAAAAACAACCACTAATGTGATAAAAAAAAACTATCACAAATGTAATAAATGGAGTTATGATATTGAAAAGAAAAACAATTGGTACCTTAATGAGGTCTGTATGCACTTAATGGATCGGATTAGCTTACAGTTGAAAATAATTCTTCGGTATCAAACCGAAGTTAGTTTTTGGATACCATAGCCAGCTACTGTTAATTACGAAAATATCAATTGTAAAAATGTCCACTTGTCTAAGGATTATTTATTTGTTACTTTTAAGTAATTTTTCTCTATGAGCCATTAATCACAGGAAGCACAATGTTGTTTTACTCCATTCAGATGGGAAGTCCTGAAATTACATAGATAGCCATCTACGGAAACAAACAACTATTGATCTTGTGCTGCTGATTATTTTTTCAAACTCTGAATCAATTAATTCAATTACTTAGCTTCAAAAAGAAAATCACTAATTAAAGCCAAAGTTAAGTAGCACTGGGAGGTGGGTTTAATTATTGTAACCAAGCAGGACGTTACTCGTTACAGAGGCAGCTTTTGCTTTATAAATAGGAGAGACCTCTGTGTTGTCTCTGCAGCTTGCAGGCTAGTTGTTGGCTGGTTGGTTGGTTGGTTGGTTTTGGGTTTCTGTACATTTTTGGGCAGACCCAACCCAAATGGCTCCCTCTGTTTTCCCTTCCTCTGTTTTCCTTTCTTCTTTGCTTATCCTTGTTCTCTTTTCCTTCACTATCTCTCTCCATTGCAATGCCTACCCTTCTCATCACAACCCTCTTCGTCCCCACCGCCATCATCCTCGCTTTGCGTCTCACAACTACAGAGATGCTCTCGCAAAATCTATTCTCTTCTTTGAAGGTCAGAGGTCTGGGAAGCTCCCTCCTAACCAGAGGATGACTTGGAGGAGAGACTCTGGTCTCTCAGATGGCTCTGCCATGAAAGTATGTGTAAATCATCAGAAATCTATCATTAATAATGCTCTAGTTGTTCAATTTTTGGTGTTTTTCTTGGAAGATTTCAACTGGGTTTTGTTTATTTGATGTTAAAATGACAATGTAGGTTGATTTGGTTGGAGGGTACTATGATGCTGGGGACAATGTGAAGTTTGGGTTTCCCATGGCATTCACAACCACCATGCTCTCATGGAGTGTGATTGAGTTTGGTGGGTTGATGAGAGGTGAGTTGCAGAATGCCAAACAAGCTATTCGTTGGGGTACGGATTATCTTCTCAAAGCCACTGCCCAACCAGACACCATCTATGTCCAGGTTTGTGCATTCTCTGTCTTACAGAATGTCTACCACATTTTTCTGATCTAGCATTTAGCCCCATTTTTTAAGGACACAAACAGAGGAGCTAATGTTGCAAAATGCTCTCTCTCTCTCTCTCTCTTTGTGTGTGTGTGTGTGTGAAGGTGGGTGATGCAAACAGGGACCATGCTTGTTGGGAGAGACCTGAAGACATGGACACCCCAAGAAGTGTGTTCAAAATAGACAGAAACACCCCAGGTTCTGAAGTTGCAGCTGAAACTGCTGCTGCTCTAGCAGCAGCTTCTTTAGTCTTCAGGAGGTGTGACCCCACTTACTCCAAGCTCTTAGTCATCAGAGCTATCAGGGTATATAACTTCACACATAATATCAACAAATAAATGCAGTATATTGGGATAAAACAAGGAAAATCCTGATTATTTTGAATTTTCCATCCGTAGGTGTTTGAGTTTGCTGATAAGTACAGAGGTTCTTACAGCAACGGGTTGAAGAAATTTGTTTGCCCCTTTTATTGTTCTTATTCTGGGTACCAGGTAAAATATTTTGTTCTTTTTACTTCCACATTTTTTGGTTTATTTTTCTAAATCAAACCAAACCAAGTCATTTGTCTCAAACATTTGGGGTCGGTTATTATTTGAACTCATCATATTGGATCCGACAAAGTTTTATGACTATCGGCTACGTAATGTAACCCCTCCTCCTCCTCCTCCTCCTTTATCTTGGCTTGGGACAGGCAGTGTTGAATACAACACTCAGAGTTTGTTTTTTTTTTTTTCTTTCTTTGGAGTTAAATCTTGATTTGTTGTTCTTGATAATGGAAGGATGAGCTGTTGTGGGGTGCTGCTTGGTTGCACAAAGCTACCAGGAATCCTACTTATCTAAACTACATTCAAGTGAACGGGCAAACCCTTGGGGCTGATGAGTCTGACAATACATTTGGGTGGGACAACAAGCATGTTGGGGCTAGGATTATTCTCTCCAAGGTCACATTTTCATTACTGTTTTATCAATCATTTCTTGCTCTAGAATCTAGATTATTTGTTGATACAAGTAGATTTGTGCACTTGAATGTATTTCAGTATAATGTGTGACACATTGCCTTGGATTTTCAGGCATTTCTGGTACAAAAGGTCCAGTCCCTCCATAGTTACAAAGGTCATGCAGATAACTACATCTGTTCTCTCATACCTGGGAACCCCTTCTCCCAAGCCCAGTACACCCCAGGTCCTCTCTCCCTCAGTTCTCCCTCTCTGCAAATATACTCTGCTAATATATGCTACATATTAAGTTTAGAACAAGTCTATGGTACATCACAAAGTTACTATCAAATAAAAGTGAAGTTTTGTCAGCAGATTTTAGGATTAATTCTAACTTATCTAGGTCTAATTTGACTCTGTTGAGTCATAATTAATATTTTTACTATGGTTAATTAACCTTAAATCAATTATATTTAACTTTTATTTACTTGCAAATTTTGATACGATTTTGAACTGGGTGGGTATCTTAACTTTACCCTGTTTTACATGGATCAAGTTATGGTACCAAAACTTAATACTCATTATAATACCGTAAAATGACTATAAGTGGTAGATTTTTGTGCTAAAACTTTTTGTGTGTCCCATTGTAACAAAAAAGGAGATATGGTCCAACAATTTTTTTTTTGATACCATAGTCTAACCACATTAGTGTATGGTTAGGGCTATTGTATGGGGAAAAAAATGGCAATATTTCAAAATATAATAAAATAAATTTATACGTGTCACATTTTATTGGTTGAAAAAAAAAAGTATGGTACCGAAAAATAATTTTTTGATACTATATAATGAATTTAGGACTAGACTATAGTATCAAAAAGTTATTTTTCGGTATCATATTTTTTTTTTTTGTCTAATAATAATTTGACACTTAAAAACATTTATAAATTTAATGAAGATAAATTTATGGTACCAAAAAACATTATAATAATGTATTGCAAAAATATTGACTCTAAAAAGAAGTTGAAAACTATTGAGGGTCAAATTATAATATTTTTAGGGTATTTGTGATTCTAAATCGTTATAACTTCACCTAAAAACAATATAATTTAACTCCAAAAATTATAATTTTTAAGGTCAATGTCAATTAGTATATAATAATTTGAAAGTAAAAAATTATAATTTGGAAGAAGAGTGATAAACATAATTCCAAAGTAGTTCAAGTGTTAACAAGGGCAACTTGTAATCTTAGATGTCTCGAGTTTGAATCTTGACAATTTTCTAGGGTTTGACTATGAGATTTTATGTTTTATGAATACGCTAATCTCAACGTAAATGATCTGTTTTTGATCAGATCAAAAAAAAAATTAGTCAAAATATGTATAAATTAGTTCAAACACACTATAGTCTCGAAAAAAAGGAAAAACATAATTGACAAACCTTAGTAGTAAAGAAGGTCAATCCCTTAAGTTTATAGCAATGTGGTTTGATTGATTACTTCTGACAGGAGGGCTTCTGTTCAAGATGGATGACAGTAACATGCAGTATGTGACTTCCACTGCCTTCCTGCTTGTAACCTATGCCAAGTACTTAACCTCCGCTCATATGATTGTTAATTGCGGTGGAACCATTGTTACCCCCAAGAGGCTCCGAACCATTGCCAAAAAACAGGTAAACTTAAGGATAGGGGTAGCAGCACACCACAACCATAACCTTCGCTGTCGTGTCATCATTATAATAATCTTTCTTTACATTATGATTATGTAGGTGGACTACCTGCTAGGAGATAATCCCCTGAAGATGTCCTACATGGTTGGCTATGGTGCAAGGTACCCACAGAGGATCCACCATAGGGGATCATCCCTGCCGTCCATTACTGCACACCCAGCTAAGATCCATTGCTCTTCTGGGTTTAATATCATGAATTCGCAATCTCCCAACCCCAACATTCTGGTGGGGGCCATTGTTGGTGGGCCTGACCAACACGATCAATTTCCAGATAAACGGTCAGACTACGAGCAATCAGAACCGGCAACGTACATCAACGCACCCCTTGTTGGAGCACTATCTTATCTTGCACACTCGTTTGGCCAACTCTAAAACCTTAGTACTCGTAGTACTCTATATAACCAACCAAGGGTCCCAAGTATTTTTAGGTGTTATCTACATTTGTTTTTCAGTTATTATAGTTCTGAAATTTCTAGGGGATGGTGTATGGGCCGAGACCTAAGAAGGCTCGAGCCCCGAACCTTGTGCACTGTTATTAAGGTTTTCTTTATACATAGCCTTTCCTTGTTCGTGTAGAAGTACTGTGCAAGTGTGATTTTCGTGCTGCAGCGGCATTTATATCACAAAAGTAATGCTAAGAGGCTGCTTTGGGACTTGTTATGTGCATGTTGTAATAATGATTTAATTTATTATAATTATTAACAAATTTGGTTATGGATCTTATAAATACTAAAATTTACTATTAGTTTAATTCAATATATTCGGATTCAATAATATTATGTTTATTAAATTTTTTTATCCCAAATAATATTTCATAATCGAATTCCGATTAATTCTTTGACTTGGCATAACATGAATATATAAAATAAAATAAAATAAAATAAATTTATTTAATAATTATTAATATTACTTTTAAAATTATTAAAATCTTTCACATTACACTACACTACACGTGTTTTATACTTAATAACATAACAAATAGAGAACAGGAGGAGAGTAATGGAAGAACAAATCAATTCGTTGTGATTCTCCGTGGACAACGTTTGGAATTATTTTTTTTTTTTAACCGTTGGTAAGGATGGCCCAGTATTTGACCGTTGAAAATATGTGGCGGAAAAAGCGATGATACGGGGAAGTCGTATGTCACGTGGTCAAAAGCTGCACATTGCACTTTGTCAGGTGCAGCAGAGCACACCCTAATAATAGAGATTGCAACGCCTGTCCGCGTAGTCCCAGATTTTTTTGGCAGAGATAAATATACTTTCGGTGTAAATAATTTATTTTTTATTTAATCGATGAAAAAATTCATTAAAATATGTATATATTGATATGAACAGTTTTAACTGTTGAATTAAAAAAAAAAAAGAACTACAGTAGTGATGAAAAACGTTGGAAAAGGAGGGTTTAACCATAGATATTAAAATAAGTTAGTGGGGGGTGTGATGGCCACCATTTCACTGTTGATTTTAAAATCACATGTAAAATTTTATATTTTTATTATTTTTACCATTGCCGGATAGGAAGACAATGAACCTGCCGAAGACATTTGAACTCAGCGAATGTAACCACATCCGGGTTAAGTTTCATATTCTCAATCTACACGCCAAACCATATTCCCACAACCACAATTACTCGTACTAACGCACAAGGAATGGTGAAAATTTTGTTATTTAATTTGAATGTGCTAAATTCTTTTCAATTATAAAATTTTATTTTAGTTTTCAGCTTCAGAAATTATTTTATTTTTATTTTTAGTTTAATTAGATTTTTATTTTATTTTTTTTATTTCCTAATTTATTTAGTATTCTAGTTTCTTAGTTAGTTTAATGTTTCTAATATTATATAAAGTCTTGTAAGCCTTGTAGCAAAACAATTTTGCATTATTGAATATAATTAAGAGAATTTTTTCTTTTCTTTTTAATTATTCTCTCTTGCGTCATTCGGACCAAGCTATTATCGGGCCAAACCCGCATCATTAAGGGACAAGACTAGATATTGGGCAACGGATCCCTCACCACAGCCCAGCCTGTGATCCAAAACCTGTTGTTTTACGTAAGGTTACTGAGCAGGCCTACCTCCAAGTTGTATTTCAAGGACAAAAATAACAAAATTATACCTTCAGAAGTTGCAATTTTCAACTTCAAAGCTTACCACTTGCACCTTTCCAAAATATTACGTGCACCAAATGATTGTAGAGCATTAAATTAATGGAGCCCATTATCGCCCTACAGTCATCCAACTGACAATCATATGTGCACAAATTGGCGCACATGGCATTACTATTATAACCTACTTCTATAATTTGTGAATGATAGGCTGATAGTAGTATCTCGAAGAAGATGAGTTCAAGGGGATGAAGCACCCAAAGTCATCAAACCTGTGCCGGCACCTAACTGACTGCCTGAATTCTCCGGATGGCATTTCTCAAGTACTCGCACCATTTCATATAATTAACAGAAATCATCGTAATGCAGTCGATGGATTCTAACGCAACCTTCGAGAGGAGGATCAGCCACACTAGAATGGGAGGCAGCAGTGGAGAATTTTCCACAATAGGTGAAAGCCTAACGGAGAAGAAACAATGACAGTATTTGGGAAATAAACACATGCTAACTCTACCTACTTTATTTTTCCTTCTTTTTTTGTTGGGGGTTTTGAACAGAATACGAATACGTTTCAACTGCTCTCTATTACGAGGTAATACATTCACGATATCTAAAAACCTTCAAACATACATAGGCGGTGCAAGATTAACACTCCAAAACTAAGTGCCTGATTAATTAGTACAGCATCTGTGACATTTTGCATCCATGCGTACACAAACTGAACTTTATTTAAATTTGATCAAATATCGTGGATAGAGTGACACGCTTACTGACTACTTCCTTGAGCTCCTTTATCCACTGGTTGGGCATCTATTGCCAGAGGAACGGATTTAACCTGAAACAGCACAAGCATAATGAAATTTCCGAAAGGCCTTATGTGTGAAAGCACAAGAAAAAAATTAACAAAATTGTTAGGTGTTGGCAAATATCTCTGATTAGACTTGATCTATCCGAAGTTGAAAGCATGGGTTTTTCATGCCTTCTTGACTTCAATATTCTTATGTGTGGCAGAGAAGAGGAGGATCAAAGAGCGCACCAGATCACGGAACTTGAGAATGTAGAACATCTCAAGATATCTTCGAGTTTCACGCCTCTCAAGTTTCGAAACATACTTCCAGAAACCATAAACTCCAGCTAATGTCATCAGCCTCTCAGAATATATTTGCCATGTATACCTACAATGTTACAACTTACAAGGATCAAACATAAGCCTCACTAAATTAATGAATTGCTGTTTCCATCAAGACAACTAACCTTTCCTGGATCCTTTGAAGCCCTGCTTGGGAGATTTTCTCCCAGTAGCTGGGATCCTCCTGGCACCGCTGGAAAAAATCAGCCATAAGTTCAGCAGCCTTATCAGGGTGATACGGATCAATATGGAATCCTGATACACCATCTTCAATAATCTCCATAGGACCACCATGACAAGTAGCAATTGTTGGAAGACCACAAGTCATGGCCTCCACCACTGTTAGTCCAAAAGCTTCATAAAATGCAGGCTGAAATTTAAACCCCACCACCAAGAGAAGGGAAAAAAAAGATAAAAAGGGAAAGTCTTAGGATGATTAATTGAATCAGACATTTAATAAATAAGTCAAAGCAAACTGCATACCTGCACAAACGCGCCTCTCTTGTCAGCCATATAGCGGTAAAGCTCACCATTACGCACTCGATTTGTTTGGGCTGCTATCCATCGAAATTGGCCAAGCAGGTTGTATTTCATAATGAGATCATGCATCTTCTCTATTTCTTGGATTTCTTCTCTGTCATTGGACTTCTTGACATCATTGTAACCTGCCACAATGACAAGGTTTGCCAGTTCCCTTAGCTTGCTATTTTTAGCATAGCATTCTACTAGCCCAGTGATGTTTTTCACCCGATCAAGTCTCGCCATGGAAAAAATTATGGGCTTCGATTGATCACTCAATGTACCACTGCATGAGGTCAAATATATGATTTGTTTTAGAAATCAACAATTATCTGCCATTACTAATATCATCAGACATCCTACTTCATCTTGGATTCTCAACAGAACCACATTTAGAACCGGTTTAGCTTCAAATTTTAGGTACTAGGCAGACATACTAAAGGGAGCGCAGAGCTAACTGCTGAAAACAAAAATAAAGATCCATAGAAAACAGAGATGAATCCCTAGCTAATAGTAATATGGGACAAATAACAGAATACGGGACAATAAAGTACAAATAATTTTAACAACGCCGTAAGACTTGAGGCATGCTGGAATTATATGGCAGACTTTTGGTGACAATGATGGTCTAAAAATTATTGCTGCGGCGTAAGCAAATATAAAAACTTAGGGCAGACTTCCACATTACTATTCAACTTGAAGAAAACATAGAATCAAGGAAACACTCACATATGTACATCATTCTGCTCAGGATCATACAATAACTCTTCAATTGAACCATGCAGCGCAGTAAGTCTTTTATCCTTGTCAGAATATGGGAAGTAAATGTCCATATCCGCCCCAGGAGAGACAATATTGAACTTGGTATCAAAAACATCAATGCCATGAACAACTCGGTAGAGGCCAGGCAAAGTGAAAGCTGTATGGCTTTCATACTGACCAACAGTATTCTTCCTGAAAAATAAATCAAGATAAGTCCAGTAAACTGTTGAACTTCTACTTTAGTAAAACTGCAAATCCAGATTGATCAGCACAAGTATCTAAGTGATGTTTAAATAGCAATGCGCTTAACCATGGTGACATCGTGGCTTGCCTGGATCAAGTGCAAGACATGCTCATTTTTAATAAGATAGTTTTTAGACTTTTCTAAAAGTATTTAAACCAATAAAATTAGCCTTGTTCTTTTAGATGTGGAGAAGAGAGAGTGGGAGAGAGATAACTCATTAAGATGAGTTGTCAAATATGTATGTGAGTGAGAAAGAGACTGGAAAATGGGAAATGAGAAGTCTATCAGGGAGGACTCAAAAGTGAGAAGCTACATATGGCATAACAAATGTCGAAAGACTATTTTAGCAACATAAAGAAGGCAAGCTGAAACATAGACTCGGTCAATATTAATAAGAACTATGTTGTGGAAAATAATTCATGAGCTTTATAACAATTACCTAAAATTTCCAATACAGGTTAAATGCATAGGTGGCTGCAATCTTCATCCTAAAAAAGGAGGTCTTATTGAGTCGTAAAATCCTTGTATTATCTTTCATCTTTTACTCTCAAATAGATCTTACATAGCTTGTTGTGCACTGTAAAGTTGTCAATATGGGCACTAACTTCATCGAGTAAGACTCTCAATTAGATTAATTTTACCACACTCATGTTCCTTATGATGGCAATTTATAAAATGTAAATACTTTGAATAACACTGTGCTAGAACCATGGTGCACATAGTCAACAAAGCCCCAAACATAACTCCTACGGTTCAGTAGCATGCATGAATTCCCTTCTCGAAGTTAATAACACTGATTAATAAAATCCTGAAGGTATTAAAACCCATTTCTGTTTTGCTGGGCGAGGCAAGGACTTCAATCACATTATGCGAGGATCAAACCTGCATCCTCATAAACAGTAGAGTAGAGAGAGGGACCCAGTTGCTATTGGGCCATCCTGTGT